GTGTGTGTGTGTGTGTGTGTGTGTGTGTGTGTGTGTGTGCGCGCGCGCGCGCACGTATGTGTTTGCTTGTTTATTTATTGTGGGTTATTTTGGCAGGCCTAACTATCCTCTGTGTGGGTGTTTTTGGGCGCTCGCAACTGCATAAGGTCATATGAGCGCGCGGGACACCATTTTACTTTTTCAATGGAAGGAAATTTTGAATTTTGCCCGAGTGGCGGCCGAAGCCTACTCTTATCGATTTTCGACCACCGAGGGATCTTTAACGTGCGTAACTTGCCAACGTGACCTCCGAGATTTTTCGCCCTTGTCCGAAAAAGGCTAGGCGTAGTTCTTTCCTCCCAGAAGATCAGGGGTGTGGCTGAAAGACAACAGTAAGAAGGAGTCGAGGAGTAGCAGTAGAAAGGCTGCAGAAATAGTCAGAAGCCCAGAGGAGGGGGCAAAGGGGGTGAGGGGGTGGGGGGAAGAAAGTGGAGGCGAAAGCAGACGACAGAACATTGCTAAAGAGCAGGAAAGGAGGTGAAAGGAGACAATTTTAGAGAAGAAAAATTGTCTGTCTCTACACGGATTCGAACCTGGGACCTGCGAAAGAGAGGCAAACACCTTAACCTCTAGTTCACAAGCCCCCCCCCCCCTTTGAGTGTGATAGCGTAGATAGTGTGTGCGTGTGTGTGTGTGTCTGTGTGTGTGTGTGTGTGTGTGTGTGTGAGTGTGAGTGTGTGTGCGTGTGTGTATATATATGTGTGTGTGTGTGTGTGTGTGTGTGTGTGTGTGTGTGTGTGTGTGTGTGTGTGTTTGCGTGTTTAGATAGAGTATCTCGATGGGATTGGTCCAGTCGAGTGTGGATAAATGTCAGGCTTAAGGACCGAGTTTCCCTGTACTAAATAGAAAGGACATGACAGTGACTGTTATTGTTCATTTAGTTGTAGATCTAGAGAGAGTTACTACACTTGCAACACAATGAGGTCATAGAAGTGACGAAGAATAGATTATGTTTTACAAGACGGTAACATACACGAAAATGAAGAAGGAGAGATAAGGACGATATGTGTTCGATAAGAAAGAAGGAGCAAACCACACTAGAGCACGCGCCAACCACTCACTTACTGTTCTTTTAATACGCTATTAAAACAATAATTGTGACTTTACGTAGTGTCTGGCTGTGTATCTATCTCCTCTACCTTGTTATCAGAATGCAAGCTAGATAGATAGATAGATAGATAGATTGATAGATAGATAGATAGATAGATAGATAGATAGATAGATAGATAGATAGATAGATTGATAGATATATAGATTGATAGTTATAGTGCGGTCAAAAATTCGAGGCGCTACTTGTCTTCAAATATTTTTATAACTGGAGAATCAATGTCATCCATACTTTGCACAGCAGTTTGTTTCAATTTGTCTTAAGCTTAATCATATTTTACCACAACAATTGAGGATAGTCTAAAAAAAATATTTCCTCAAAAACTTACATCGTTTCCTCAATAACTTATATCAAATACTACAAACCTTATTCGCGCGGAAAATATAATTTTTCTCAGCACTTACCGCTTCTCACACACATATTTTTGAATACGCATACGGGTTACGTCACATCTCAAAACTCACCAATGACACTTTTTAGTCGCAAAACTAGTTACAAGAAATGGATTTTTATAGAGAACACTTTTTTGCACTAAAAGTTTTCGAAACATGTGTTCAATAAAGATAATCTCACGATTAGAAAAACAGTGACGGACTTGCTTTTCAAAGTGATATCATCAGAGTGGTAAACCTTTTAAAATCGCGAGATTATTAGTATTAGGATTTTTAATCCTCTAGGATTTTTAATTAGTATTTATTAAGGAATTTTCTAGAATAGAACCTACAGGTCTTTACGAAATATTGATCTATTAAGACAAATTTATACAAGTCACTGTGCAAAAGCTGGAGAGTTTATGTTTGATAGTTGAAGAGATTTTTGACAATAAGTTGCGCCACGAATTTTTGACTGCACTATCGATAGATAGATAGACAAATAGAGAGATAGATAGATAGATAGATAGATAGATAGATAGATAGATAGATAGATAGATAGATAGGTAGATAGATAGATGAGTATTGAGTGGATGGACACGCAGATACGCAAATATATAAATACCTAGGTAGAAAGATAAATCGACATCCAGGCATCCAAGAGCGCCGAGCAGGAATAGAAAGGATGAAAGTATGACGAAACAAATAAAAACGTCATTGAACGAATAAACGGATACATAAATAGAATCGTGCTGAGCGGGAAAACCCAAACCATTTCAGTCAGTCCGACGTTGGGCCCTTCAACCTTCTAGAGACTGGAGTGGTTATAATAATTGTTTTCTTAAAATGTTTTGTGCTGCCAGTACTATGATGAAAGCGTTCATTCAGATCTCGCTTCCAAGCTCCCCCCCTCTCCCACTTCACCCCCCTCCCCCCCCCCCCCCTTCTCTCGCTCTCTC